CAGTGGCTTATAAGGGGATAAGGTCACGCGTTCTCTTGTGGCCTGATTGGCCGCATTGGGACAACTTCACGCGACCAGTTGGCCCTCGGGGTCCTGCGACCACTTGGGCACGTGCTTTGACGTGCGTGCGTTTGACCTGTCTAAGGTCATTGCTCGGGCCCAGCCGAGCGAACGCATAAGACCTCGGAGGCAGTCGGCTATTGAACAAAGGAATCATTGTGGCGCTCGGCGGCAGGCACGACGCCTTAGGAGAGCCGACAAGGTTGCTAGCCTTTGGTCAGGCTACCGTCCCAACACTGCTTCTCTCAGAGAGGACGGGAGAATTCACATTTATACTAATCATTCGTTTACGTCTGTTGCATGAACTGTATCTATGTACGCATACTAGCGGATGCCTAAACCGGTGTTAAGAATGCATGCTCTTTCGCGTGTGCTTAAAAGGGGGACAAGAGGAGGTATCGGTCGCAAGAAAAAAAGAAGACAACAGAAAGGCGAAAGCTTACCGTTTGGAATGCGTTGATGAAGTTTGTCTTAGCTGCCAAAATTTCATCTGCGCTCGTAGTTAACTTCTCACTGAAGCTGTTCTGCGCGGTGAGTAAGTCATTCATGGCATTTTTGGCGTGTTCTGTCACTCTGTTAAAGGAGTAGCGCGCTGCTTCGATTGAGTCGAGTAATCCACGTGGAAGGGGCGGCTGATATTTGCCCATAAGTGCGGCTGCTTCCTACAAGGAAGATTGTGTGATGTTAATAGTGTCTAACCAATGAGAGCGAACGGACGCGGGACGCGTATAATCTGTACCGCGGTGAGTGAGCACCCCCCACACCCTATCACTGTTAACGTACCTAACCATAACCAACAGGAAGAGCACGTGGCTCAATTATTAGTGAATTGCATTACTAATCTCAAATTGCGGGTTCGAACCCCAGAGCTTGCAACACCTAGGCTTTATTATGAATGGCTGATGATGGCTAATGAATCAGAAATATCCATCAGAGTTTCGTCTGTCCACGTGAGCAATGTTACAGATGTACTACTATTTCCTGATCTCATTACTTATCTAGGTATTCTTCAACGTGCCGAGCCGTCTTTGGGCTGCGCGATCGACTCCTATAGCGCTCCAGATGGGTGCACGCCCGAGTACATGCTAGTTCAGAATGAAGTCCGCAGTTCGACTCCATAATGCAAAAGTGAGGAGCCGCACAGGGTTTTCTAACCACCTGCTAAATGCTTTGCTACCAGTTGTTGACACTGCCAAAAATGACCTGTTCTAACCGGCAGGTAGGAGTACCTCATGGGACCGCCTGGGGAGCGCGCGAAGCGCGCCCCTCGGTCTTACGGGCTCCTGATTTTAGGGGAGAGGATGGGTGGGGCATGTCAGGGAACAAGTAAGTTCACGCTTTGATATCATCGCCAATCCACCACCGGACCAACGGCGAGCGCGTGTATGTATGGAAGTGCGACCTGACCTCAGGAGAGGTCATTGAGGTGCAGAAAAGATTATGAGTAATTCAACCTACTTAAAATTTGTAAGTAAGTATTTGTAATACGTAAGGAACCTTCAGCGACCCCAGCAGGTGTTCTTACCAACCGGCTCCCGAAGCAGTGCCTTTACTCCTTTCGGTGTTTGGAGGGAGAGAGAGCTGCAGATATATAAACAAGTAAATTTACTCGATGAAAATGATTATATATTACCTCAGAGCGAAATATCGTCATGTCCGCGGTGACTTCGTACCCGTGGAAATGGTTTATGGCGTCCATTACTGCGGCAACATCATCAAAGTTCCCCAGGGGCCGGCTGATGAGGCGTTCAGTTTCTTCAAGCTGGGCCACATCCGCAAGCATGGGGTTGATTAGCCTCTCCGTACAAAGTTCCATGAAAGCCTAATTTGGGGTTTCATATAAAGCAACAATTAAGGGCAGTTAGTCATACCAGACGTTGCTTCCGGAACCGGTAACTCGATAATAAAGGATTGTCTGGGAGGTCGTTCACTGATTTAGCTACAGTTCGGAACACAATTGCCCGGTGAACCTTGATGCTTGGTATAGATCCTCACAGGCTGTAAAAAGGTGACCAGTAACTATGCCGGAGAAGTATCGAACACAAGGGCGATTTTTGTCTTATAAAACCTTTTCAACCAGCTATGCCCAAAGCCCAAGATTCAGACGCGGAATCACACAGTGTTGTGCTTTTAGCTAAGCGTCCTGATATGTTTTTCTGCAATAAGTGATCGCCATTGTTGGGAGTTCCTCTGTTCCCACGTGCGTGGCACGTCCGTGAACCGCCAGCGTGCGCCTTCGCCGTAGCCACAGTGCTCTCGTCAAAGCTGATTGGTCCATGTCCGTGAAATGTCGTTCGGCTCTTTCTCGCCAGGCGAATGTTATAAATACCCGCAAGCTTCTTGATATTTTTATCCTGCCCGTCATCCCCTAAATTTTAATTTGGTATAGAAGCAAATATGCGTGCCCCAGGTTCTTGTTGTAAAGAAGACGAAGACG